GGGGGGGGGGGGGGGGGGACGTGTCACCGCAGTGCTGCGCTCACCTAGCGGCAGCTGCGCGCGGTGCTCGGCGCCGCCGTCCTCCGTCGATGGCGCGCGCAGTCTCCCTACGCCGGCCGGCCCGGCAGGGGCGGGGCGTGGCGCGCTCATGCGCAAGAGCGCGTGAACTGCTGTCGCCCCCAAGGGTCGCGCACGCGCGTGCGCGCGCGCTCGCCTGCCGGTTTGCTTGGCCGCCTGGACGGCCAGTCCTTTGCTGAAGCTGCGCCAGTTCTTGCCGGACCCCAAAAGACCGTGTAGATAAACCGCCGTCAGCGGACCACGGTGGCAGCTGCCCTGCGTGCAGGTGGCGGGGCGGGGGGCAGGGCGGAATCCAACCGCGCCGATGGGTTGAGGCGCAGAGGACTCCGCCGCGGGCGCAGGCGCGGGTGAGGGGACGGGCAGGCAGGGCAGGGGGTGCGCGCGGGCCAGGGGCTCGGGCGGGGAGCGCGCAGGCGGCTGGGGCACGGTAGTTCGCAGCACCTGGTCGGGCTGCCGCGGCTGCTCGACCGCCAGGAGGGTTTTGTGATCTATGTATGTCTCGTCCACGCTGAGCAACGGCTGCGCATCCGACTGCGCGGCGGCGTGCTGGCCGCGGGATGCGCCCGACAGCGCAAGGAGAGCGCGCAGCTTTGACGCATGCAGCAGGTCAGGCGCCGCCGACCGCAGGAGAGCGGCGGCAACCACGTGATGCAGCATATGGTGGACCTCACTCTGCTTTCAGGGTGATTTTGGCGGACTCGATGATGAGTCAGGGCCATCGAGTGCTGAGTATGATACTGTGGTCGTTCGTATGCAAGCAACGTGCGTGGAAATACGTGCCTTCCCACCTCGACATACAGCACGGGGGAGACCGCTGGGCGGACACTACCAGTAATTGGCGCGCTCATCTGTTTGTGCGCCAGCGGCACGGGCGCTTGTCACACTTATCGTTGTTCCTCGGTTTCCTACCACGAGGTATAGCCCGTTAGCCCCATATCCGAGCTCCCATCCAACAGAGCGTTGCACACGAGGCCCAGGCGGACGGAGGCGCCCTCCCCCCATGTTGCTCTTTTGGGCTGGGGGGCTTTCTGGGATCACGTGAGTTTGCTGAGGACCCGGACCTCTTCTGGCAGCGCACACCGGCCTGGCGGTGTGGCCAACGAAGCCCTGGCCGGTGGAACAGCATGGATAGACCCATATGGATTGGATTCGGGGCGACTTCATTGCGCTCGCCCTCGCAGCAGGGGATTGGAGGCGAGCGGACTGGTGGCGGCCGGCAGGGGTGCCGCCGGCCGCTGGCCACACGTGCATGCCGCCGGCCCGAATCCCCACATCCGTGCGGCGGCACCGCTCCACCTTCCGCGCAGAGCCAATTCCATTGGGAGGCCTCTACAACCTCGGGGCGTAGCCGGCTAAGCCGCCGCTCTCTGCAGGTGCGGAAGCTCGCTCTTTCCCGCGGCGGCCGCACGGCGCGCGCGCGCATGCGCCAACATTGACTGAGTGCATGCAAGCGCATGCAGTGCCCATGCAGCGCCCCATGTGCCCTCCCCCTCCTTCACGGCTGCCCTCGCATGCCCCTCATCCCCCAGACGAGCCCGCCCGCCCGCCATGGAGCTGCATAAGCGCTCCAAGCACGACCATGGCGGCGGCGCGCTGCTGCTCAACCCCCTCGCCGCGCCGCACGCCAAGGCGGCGCGCGCCGCCGCCCGCGGGCACCACGCCGCGCGCGGCGCCGCCCCCGGTCGGCACCCAAAGTTCGCGGGGGCGGAGTACCGGGAAGTGCTGCAGCAGTGCGCAGATGCTGCCGAGGCGGACGCTGTGTTTGGCATGGTATCTCTGGGGAAAGACGCCGCAGGCTGGCAGGTGCGCATGCGCGAGCGCATCCCGCATCCCCCTGATGTGTTGCGTAAACAGCTATTTGTACTGCAAGCGGTCCGCACTGACGATGCCGTGGTCAGCTGCATTGCAGCGCCCCAGGGCAGCCGCTTAGATCACCCTCACACTAAAAGCCCTTTGCCGGCGCTGACGGCCGCCGCGATCTCTTTCCAGGCGCCCGGCGTCGCGGCCGGCGAAGGTAGCACGCCGGAGGCCGAGTTGTCAGACCGCTCCATGCAGGTTGTGCCCCCGGCCCACCCGCCAGCGCGCCCGCCGCAGCAGCAGCGCGGCCCCGCGCCTGCGCCCACGCCTGCGCCGGCGCAGGCACCGGCGCAGCACGGCCCCCGGCGCTCCCCGCAGCCCGCGCCCGGCGCGCAGCCGGCGCGGAAACGCGGCCGCGCGGCGCTCGCGGCAGCGGCCGCCGCGGCCGCCGCAGCCGCTGCTGCGGCCGAGGCGCCGGCCGGGCCCGGAGAGGCCAGCGACACTGATAGCAGCAACAGCGCCCCCGCCGCAGCGGGGTACCCACCGCAGGCCTGCTATGGCGCGCCTGCCGCCGGCCCCCACGCGCACGCGCATGCGCAGCACCACGGCGGCTGGGGCCGGGCGCCGCCGCCGCCCCCGTTTGCGTTCATGCAGCACCCGCCGTGGATGATGCCGCCAGGGGGCGGCCACATGATGCCACCGCCGCCCTTTGGGGGGCCCCCTATGATGCCGCCGCCGGGGCTGCTGCTGCCGCCGGGCTTCATGATGCCGCCTTTCATGCTCGCCGGCGCCCCCATCGTGCCGGGCATTCCTGTGGAGATGCACCCTGCTTCGGGGGGGCAGCAGCAGGAGGAGCGGCATGCGGCGGCCGAGCAGCAGCAGCAGCAGCAGCAGCGGCCGAAGTTAGCAGAGGATGACGGGGAGGCGCAGAGCAGGCGGCGCCAGTGCGAGCC